TCTCTACAATTAAAATTGGGACAACTTGATTTGCAAAAACATGACAAAGCAAATAAATTTGGAGAGGTGATTTTTTTCTTTTTTTAAAATATTTTATGAAATATGTGAGCTTTGTTTTCTTTCATTTGTGCTGTATACAGAAACTAAACATGAGTAAGCCTAAATTGGTGTCACTATTTTACCTGAAAAACAATTGGATAGAAAGGAACAAGCATCTCCATTGTAGGAACGGAGAGGGCCTTGACTAATATAGAATTAATGTAGTGCTTGTCCTTCACATTTTATCATTAAAGAACTCTTCATAATTGAAAAGGATAGGACAAAAATTATGTTGTAAAGTTTTGCGGATTGTGGTGGTTTTCTGGGTGTTTTCCCCTTTCAATAATAATGAAGTCTCAAAATAAATACTGACAATGTAAAATAAAGAGGTACGTACATTATGGAGTAGATATAGCTATACGCTATAGCTATATTTACTATAGTAAATAAAGCTATAGACTTTAGCTTTGTTGGAACTATATGATGAAGAATGATCTCTTTAATCCCATTAACTGCTTCACAACACATCTTGACAGTGACAGAAGCTTATTGACCAAAAGACTATTTTTTTTTCCTCCATTATTAGTGGTTTAAGTTCTATTTGTGGAGAAATGTTAAGAACTAGTTGCTTCAGGTCAACAAAGAACTCTAACATCACCTGCTTGTAGTAAATTGCAAGTTTTATCCCAGTACTAAATTCTGTGGTTTATAACTCCCTGGCTGCAATTTGATATGTAAACTCTTATCTTTTTGAAGTTATCTTATTCCAGACTCCCTGCTTGCTTGTGAAGAAATTTCTATATTGGTTTGTATCATGTTTTGAAAGCTTAAAAAACCCCAAGACTTAGAAATATAATTAAAAAGAGTAAGGGTAGGCTTATGAAATCATGGAACATTTCCTCCTTTAAGTCCAGTCATGCAGGGTACTGGAACTTTTGAATTACCTGGTGGAAATTCTTGTTTTGCTGTGTTAAAACTGCTATTTGTACAATGCCGATCCACGTGAGCAGTGACAGTGAACAAGCCAGACTGCCAGATTCTGACTCTGGATGACTTCTGAACAGTTTGTTCTGCTAAAACTTATTTATAAAGGTGCCAAGGGAACGAAAGCAACTGCTGAAAACCCCGCCTTAAAGCAAAAGGGAGAGGCTGACCGGCAACGTGCTTCCCTCTGTAACAGCAAGCAGCTGACAGCAAGCAGGGAAAGAATCGAGTATTGTCAGAAGCAAGACACGTTCTGGCTGCGAAGCCCTTAGTAGTAGCTTTCAGTTGGCTGAGTTTGTTTTGATGGTATAATAACTCCATCTTTCAAACATGCACTGCTAGAGCAAAAACTCTGCAGCTACATAAAGCAAAGGGCTAATCTGGTGCAAAAAGAGACTCCAAAATTGTACTACCAAGTTCGTTCGTTTGTTTTTTTAAAAAAAACAAAACCAACCACACACAACCAAAAAAATCAAATGTGAACCTACAATAATTTCATACTAGCTACAGAAGTACAGTCAATGTCAGATCTAGCATAAGGCTGGTCCAGATGAAATGTGTACTCCTGAGTGTTCTTAGGTGGCACAGTACTGGGATTATTCTTCAGAATCAGTCTCAGAGAAAGAATATGAAATGAGAGTACCATCCTAGTCTTAAAAAAGGAAAAAGAAGCTTCCTCTGAGGACCCAACAAGAAGTGAAGATGTGACTGTGAATAAGGACTGAACATTCAGCTCCCAATTTATGCCATCAACAGACTCACAAGATGGAGACTTTGTATTTCAAGTGAAGAGAAAGAGCTTGGGGGTGGACTATAAGAAGGTTTGGAGTTATTCCTTCTTGGCAACTCCTAATTACACTGTCAAATGCTATTGTTCATCGCAAGGTGAAGCTCATGGAAGGTGGACTCTGCTCTGTGGACACTTAGCAAGTTCCTCTCCAAAAGTAAAAAGACTTGGGATAAAAAGAGATGGGGAGTAGCAGTTGCAGCTTGCAAAGAACAGTGCTCACCACACTGTGTGTGGCTCTGTACAACACAAGCCCAGACAAATTCCAGAGTTTGGAGCAATATGCAAGAATTGCAATAAATTGCATCACTTTCACGAAAGTTTGCCAGCACTTAGCTTTTATGGCACACACATTAAGATGGCTACAAGAGCATTAGTACAAAATAATAATTTTGAGATGTGACAGACTATATTACGCCAGAAGATAACCCATTTGTCAGGCAGCGCCTGTTTGGTGAAGGAAAAATGACTGTTTGGATATAAAGTAGCAGCTTACAACCAAGAACACAAAAATGAGCTAAAAGGTGGGGGGGTTTGTTGTTTTCCCTCTTCTCCCTTGTAAGAATAATTTTAGGTAATCCCTAGAAGAGGAGCTAGAAGGACTTATTATTCAGATTCTCAGAGGGAACACAATTTGGAGGTGGTTAGCACCCTAAGATATGATGCTTGTTTTATTTTTTTGTGGCTCCTTTTATCACAGCTGGATTATTATTTTATTTTTCTTTTCCATTATGCACTTAGTATTTGAAATAATTCTTGGATGGTCTCTAACTGCATTCAGAAAGCAGCTTTTTCTTCAGTGATGGCCTTCATCTGGCTGTCTTTCTGCTACCTGGACAGTTACCTCTGAGGGAGAACCTGTATGACGTATGGGGTTTGACGTCCCCATCTCTCTGTTTAAAGAAAAAAAAAAAGAAAAAAAAAAAAAGAAATTTGGCTTGAATGCCTAAGCATTGGTGGGCAATGCACAAGCTGAAGAAAGATGATAGTTGCATAGTTCTCTTGTATTTGCTGTTACGCAGAAAGAAATCGTTTGCAAAAATGTTTCTGTACTCAGAATTGGTTCAATTCCTGGGTTTATTTAGGCCCTCGTTTGGAAGGGAGAAGAAAAAAGAAGAAAACATGACAGCATGCACATTCATTGGATGACAGTTTTCTGCAGACTGCATTCCAAACCACATTTGGTATGCAAGATTTTTTTGTTTGTTTGTTAATAACATGTACTCTGGTTTGTACACCTGAAGTTTTCAGCTGCATAAAGCAGTAGAAAGTGCAGCAAAACTGCAGGGCTACAATTCTAACTGGTAAAAAGCAACTATGTAAGGAAGTAATCTGGGAGGGAGGAGGTAATAATACAAGAAGATATACTGTAAGAGTGCCTACTGCCATGCCTCTAAAAGCAGGCAAGATATCCTGGAACCAGCAAAGGTGATTTAAGGAAATCTTGGCCTAATGTGACAATAGGACTTAGTGAACGCTGCATTAAGTAAGAAAGAGAGGGTATTTATTGCTCCTTGAAAGGATCCTGTCTGGTGTTAACAGGGCACAGAAACAGGCACAGGACATTAGTACACTGTGGCTCAGCTGCTGCAGTTGATCATGCCAGACTTCTTGCACCCAAGCCATATGCTGATGCTCTGGCACAGGGCCCCATGGCAATGCAGTGAGGCTGCAAGGGTTCCTCCTGTTCAAACCAGGAGTTTCCTCATCTTGTGCAAGTACAGATGGACACCTATCATACAATGCTTAGAGTTAGAGGAGACCTTAAAGATCACCTAGTTCCAACGCCCCTGCCATGGGCAGGGACACCTCCACTAGAGCAGGTTGCTCAAAGCCCCATCCAGCCTGGCCTTGAACACTTCCAGGGATGGGGCATCCACAACTTCTCTAGGCAACCTAGAGCTCTCAACCCCCTCACAGTAAATACTTTCTTCCTAATACCTAATCTAAATTTCCCCTCTTTTAATTTAAAACCATTACTGCTTTTCCTATCGCAACACTTCCTGACAAAGAGTCTGTCCCCATCTTTCCTTTAGGCCCCCTTTAGGTACTGGAAGGCTGCTATAAGGTCCCTCTGGTGCCTTCTCTTCTCCAGGCTGAACAACCCCAACTCTCTCAGCTTGTCTTCATAGGAGAGGTGCTCCAGCCCTCTCATCATCCTCATGGTCCTCCTCTGGACCTGTTCCAAGAGGTCTATGTCCTTCTTACATTGAGGGCTCCAGAGGTGGGCGCAGTACTCCAGGTGGGGTCTCACCAGAGCAGAGCAGAGGGGCAGAATCATCTCAATTCCGTGCCTTTGATGCAGCCCAGGATGTGGTTGGCTTTCTGGGCTGCCAATGCTCATTGCTGGCTCATGATGAGCTTCTCATCCACCAGCACCCCCAAGTCCTTCTCTTCAGGGCTACTTTGAATCCGTTCTCTGCCCAACCTGCATTTGTGCCTGGGATTGCTGTGACCCAGGTGCGGGGTCTGGTTGAACTTCATGAGGTTTGCAGGGGCCCACCTCTCAAGCCTGTCTAGGTCCCTCTGGATGGGGACCTCCCTTCCCTCTGGCGTGTGGACTGCCACCACACAGCTTGGTGTCATCGCCAAACTGGCAGAGGCTGCAACTTGGTCCCACTGTCCATGTGGCCAACGAAGATGTTAAACGGTACCGGTTCCCCTGAGGAACGCCACCCGTCACCTAAATGCAGTGTGACAGACGGACAGACAGCCTCAGCGGGGTGTGAGGGCCTACATGCCCCGCCAAGCCGGGGCCCGGCGCTGGGTCTCTCCGCGGGTACCTGCGGGCCGGGCCCGCTCCGCGCAGCAGGTGCGGGTCGTATCCCC